CAGTATAAATAATATAGTTAAATTAGTAGCTGCGTCATCTATATTCCTTCTATCACATTCTCATAAAACTCATGTCTAGATTTCTAATGCCCTCTGAATTAAAATTATTTCTATAAACATTAATGACAGTCTTAGGGGTTTGAACTTGGCTGCTACATACACAAACTGTGATATTCCAAACGTCTTCAAAATTTTCTCCCAATGATAGACAGCGCCCTCTGGGACCATAGCCGATAATATTTACCATAAATACCATACGGTAAAACGTTATAGTGGTCCCGTTATAGAAACACCACAATAGCCTTTTAATAAGTCGCATGTTGTTATATGTTTGGCATTCCCAATCAGATTATTACAATCTAGGGATAGGGTACGAATCAGATTTAGTAACCGCATCCACGTTTGTGAAATCTGTGCAGAATCTCATTGAACCATCAGGTTTAGGCATCAAAATACAGAGCGAAGCCCAACTACTTGAATGATATGGTTAGCTAACATGTACTCTACATTTATACGTCTACGTGATTTATAAGAGTTCTTACTTAGAATTAAACTGTGACTTGTTCACCAATTACAAATGAAGTCGTCATAGAAACATTACGAAAATGGAGCATTCAAAATAGTACCCAATAATAGGACAAATTGCTGTATATGCCAATTTCATAAATAATGTTTCATCACATTCAAGAACGATAACACACAGAAAGTATCTGTACATGATGTTTTGGAATCCAATGAAGTGCAATTATGATATATGATATATGAACACATCATTCAATGACATGTATTCATACAAAAAACGTGTTCTATATGGATTGACAAACTATTGTCGGTATATTGGAAAACATAATTTGCTCACAGAGAGTTCAAAGTGTCACTGGAGCAAAAAGGTTATTTTGAATGTCATCATTTAAATCAAGGTTCTTCTCCGTATTGAGCGTGATCACACATTATAACAAACAGTCTCTCGGCTGTGATAGCTCCGTTGTCAGCAATGCACAATCAGAAAATTGAAGATATCATCATGAAATAAAGAAATCTGGGAAAGGTCCATGTATAATAACAAGCAATCGGCCTTACGTTTTCAAGAAGAAGTTGGAAAAGTTGACGTGGACGACAACGGCGACGGACATTCAGTAATATGATTAGCTGCCCGTTCGCTAAGCGAACATCAGTTTCTTTGGTATGTAGTTTGTTTCACCAATCTAAGAATCCGCTACATCCCAGCATATTATTTCAATTCACCATGCATTCAACACATTGTACAATTACGCTTCTCAATCGATGTCGATGTTTTACAAAGACGAACCACGTATCATGCTTTAATCAACAACAAAATATGCAGTGCAATAGTACATAAAGGTAGTACGAATGACATCGCACCGCACTAAGGATTGCAATTACAATCTTGACCGTTGTAAATAATGTGAGTCATGATGGCCAATCACAAAGACACAACACAGTTGTAAGGTCTTCTTTCACATGAGATAATGTATAAGAGATAATAATGTCACTTTCAGTTGAGTATTTAGCTTGCTTGGCCCCAAAAATAGAAGGACGTTTTTATTTACACATTTTGTATCATTCGTAGAGTCCATTTCCATACAACTATTTGTAATAATTGGTAATAATTTCCAATAGGCACTGTTGGATTATGATTTATGTATCATACTGTTAAGTTTTCCTACATCAAAACTTATATGTATAAGTTTATAATAACACTAATTAGGTTTCTAATTACTTGTAAATGCTTTACATAATTTTAATACAACCTGGAATGTACTTATGTTAATAATTAGGAATATGTCAAATATATACCAATATATTCTTAATGCGACGTTCGTCTTGTAGTGAGTTAACAAACAATGGCAATTTATTATTCCCATATACAAAAATAATGCGTAATGTATATATTACATTAAACACGACGTCACTGCATCGTCTCATTATTATAATGAGAGACGGCAGAAATATGTAAACGCTGAACGACCACATCTTGACCTTTGTTATAATTAGTTGTTCAACATATGCACAGGAGTTATTAGATTGCATTGCTTTCGTCATCATGGATAAGCCTCTGTGTATCACTGGTATTTCGTGGCTGTGTACGAATGCAATCTTCATATGATGGCGGCGGTTGGACAACAATGGCTGCAAGTATAATATGAAATAAAATGTTTAAATTTATAGAAAACTGCCTGTTGATCGTTTGAGCTTCGCTGTTATATTTGTTTACAGAATTAAAAAGTTAATTGCATAATCAGCAATCTGGAAGTTGGTAGCATATTTTTATCGAAAATAACAAAAATATTCATAAAACTTGTATAAATCTGATAGAGATTCACCGCAATGTCTAACATCGAAAAAATCGGGTTCATGATTCACAACTACTAAAATTATAGTCGCAAAAAGGGCAAATCTTAAAAAATGCGCCCATTATATCAAGCATCTAATCAATTGAGGTAGTTGTTTTCAAAAAGTAAAAACAAAAGTTTGACAAAAAATACAAATATTACAAGTAGAACACTACAGCTGGTATAAGAAAATAAACAATTTGGAATAGGATTCTGATTAAAATCATTAAAAGCGATATGTGGCATATATTTTTTATTTTTATTATATTTGTTATCATTTGCTTTTATCTGTTTTTATTACATACATTTTCATTTGATTATTTTTATTAACGCCATCTCATGGATTTTTTGCGATTTCCAGCACTTTAAAAGTATGACTGATAAATTAAAGTACAATAAAATATAAAAAATACACAATTGCATATTTAAAAAAGAATAAAACGAGAGTAAAACACACTAATTCGCAAACGCATCAATAAATTTGGGTTTAAACATACACAAATCCGCAAATGATCTATCGATGAAAATATTCCCGACACTTACCAGCAGGATGCTCTACATATTGGCTATCATTTGATATTTCGACACCTGCCAGAGAGGGCGTAACAAGATGCTCAGGAACTAAAAGCGCCACCTCTGCTCCGATTGTAATGTTCACATCCTCACAGGTCAGATGTCGATGAAGCTATAAATGTCAGCAAAAATCTGATTCAGAATTCAATCATTTTTTATAGTTTTAACTGAATTATGATTTACGGTTTAATAAAACAATTAAAAACTTGAAGACATACGTGTTTTTTTTTAATTTTCATTGAATGAATATTATAATTATGCGTGCTTATTCAGGATAAATAATAGCCCAAATGAAGTTATTATTATACAGTGTCAAACAACAGTGTTAATATTTATATTGCATCTATAATTATAGTGAATACATATTTTTTGTTTTAGTAATATACTCACAGAGTAAAAAGGGCAGGAAAGAAGACAACATGGAAGGCACAAGATCCAATATCTAGTTGTTTCGAGGTTACACCGAAAACACGGCTTAAACTTGCTGGTATTTGTAATACATAACCTGCCGTACTTTCCAAAGATGCTGCCAGCGCACATGCCATTAATCTGTTGAGATGCATCTGAGTACCACTCTCTTATTGGCGATGTGAAATCAAACTGAGAACACGTAAAGTCTGGTTAGTGGTCAGTTGCATTTTTTAGGAGGACATGTACGGTTGTTTTGCTGCATAATTAGTGCATTTGTCTCAGTGATGACATGTAATCAATTTATTGAACGTATTAAGTACTATCATATGATACACAGGTTTTGCGGCTTAGACATCATACATATATATATATGCTTACAATCACATATTGTTTTGGATAGTACAGTACTGCATACATGGACGTCACAGTTTATAATTGTTGTTACAATTGTTAAACTGTCATGGTCATACAAAAAATAAGCACGCATTCATTATTATTTACGCTATATGTGTGTCAGTACCCGTTTCAAAGTACATAAGCCACGATGCAATAGAGTATATGTATGTAATTTACCTCTACTGAGTAATTCTTTCCTTCAGACACCAATCTTCTTGCTTCATTAAATCCTCTTTCAATTTGTTGTTTGATATGTGGATGTCGCGTATTGATCAACACCGCAAAATAAACTGCAAATGATAACAAAAAGGCATAGGATGGCTAAAAACATTCGTCCAGCATATATGTATTAACTTAGTGGGCAATCTAAGATAGAGTGGAACATACCAAACGAGAGTAGATTTATCTAATCGATAACTGCACTGATATTGGACACAATAAATGAAGCCATTTATATATTGTCTTGTGCTAACTGCAAAATGTAAACCGCCAAATACTGCGCCACCACAGTTCAGTGCGTCTCATGCAGCCGACTGATTTATGGTCCGTATTTCGTATGTAATATCGCGATGAGTATCTCCACAATTATTCCCTGACATTTCATTCTCATCGAATATTGATTGCGATTGATTGATTGATTGATTGATTGATTGATTGATTGATTGATTGATTGATTGATTTAAGAACACATCTCACTTTCGTAAACGATGGTAACCACTCCAAGTGCGACTCGTCTTTTACAAAACACATCAAGAAACATTGGTTTACTGAGAATATTCTGTCTCCAATCTTCTAATTCCTGCTCATTGCTGACTAAAATGGTCCTGTAAAAAACAAACATAAATGTCACATCTTCGGCTTGGAAAAAAATAGGTGGCCTTACATATAACTAAATCAATTGAAAACTTATTGTACTGTATATAAGGAATGATAAATTTGGAATATGATCAATACATTACTATTAA